TTATCGAATCGCGCGACCGAAGCGCTGCGATGCGAAGTCTGAACGGTGCCTAAAGTAGAGACATGGGTACGTGTGTCTTGCGCTACTTCCGAGTCGCAGCATTCCTAACTAATTGTCTGCTGTACACATCACGACACGTGCAGCACTTCTTTCTTCGCGCTCACCGTGACTCAGAAGTAAGGTTGTACACCCAAAGCCACTGATCGATAACCACCTTAAACTTTTTATTACATTTTTGTGGTGTGATCATTGATTTTGCGCCTACACGAGAGCAGCAGACGATAGATAAACACCAGAGAGGTTCTCAGGCCAGGTTTATACTTCGCTTCGCGACTTCTGCCGCCCGACTGCTACCGACCGCACGGTTAGCAGTTGTAGTCCAATGAATGGTGCTTGGTGGCGTACCAGTTGTAGTCGTACGATTCGATGTGGGAATCGCTCGAGTCACAATGTCGCATTATAACGTGCTCGGTCGCTTTGCCCGCGTGGGCTAGGGGTTTTATTACAAGCTTATATACCATTTTCACTTTAAATTCACCACTTTTCAAACCAAATTCACCACTCTTCTTAGACCAGGCAGTTCGCCAACCAAATCACGCCAGACACCACCGCGAACCCTGCCCCGACGGTCACGCCTACTTGTCAGCGCGGACATAGATTTTCAACACATGACTGACTCCGCCCATTCTTTAAAGTTTGTTGCGAACTTCAAATCTTCATAACTTTTTCAATTTTTAATTTCACATCCACTCTTCGCACAACGAAGGTACTCGTAGACGCGCATTCATGCACCGGCAATTTAGGCTCCGCCCCTTTGGCCACGCCCACTTGCTGTTTGCGGAATTATGATATTTTTTCAAAATTTTTGCATTTTTGGACTGCCCCGTGAAGCCCCGCCCACTGTGAGAGGCTCCGCCCACTTTGAAGAAGCCCCGCCCACTTTTCAAAAATGTGAAATTTAAAGTGAAAATGGTATACATAGAATTGGGCACAGGAAAGCACAGAATTCCACCCACTCTTGCAATTTCCGGATTTCCTGGGATCAATCATTTCATCGACCCTTGTTCACTATGCAAGTCTTGGTAAGCTAGATTTCACCACGACCTTGCCCAAGACAAATTGCGCTATTTGCAACGAACCCTCGAGTGTATTTGAAGGCTGAGCCCGCATTCGAATCTTATGGGTAACATGGCTCAGAAAGTAAGGGTAAGGTAGCAAGTAACCCACTAGTGAAGAAGATATCAAAAAGAAATCATAGGAAAGGCCCTATATAGAACCCCTTGCTTAACTGAGGTTGTACGTGCTCAAGGCGAAGAGAAGGTGCGGTCGCACGAGTTCTCACTGTTGATATCAGCTGTTTTCCCTTATCACCTCACTCTCACCACTCGACGTGGAGAGAAGCAGCAGCGGAACAACCGCACCATCAGGCAACCATTAGAAATGAAGTTGGGCGTCGTGGTCGCCCTGTGGTGCGGAGCGACCAACTCTCCACTAGCGGACAGCGCTATCCTCCCGCCCTTTTGCGGTGCGAAACTAGTACAACCTGCATCTTTATAGAGAGCGCTACGATGTCCAAAGACGGCGTGGGAAAATAAAAGGAACGCAGGCAATGCCTTCAAGAGAACGAACAAATGAACAATAAATAAAATTAGGCTGTCTTGAGAAATATTGTCGCCTAGCATAAGAAAAACATAGTCTGATGAAAAAAAATCAGCCCACCGTTTTCGCATTGTGTGATCAGCAAGGAAACTGAACTTGATTGGATGCATCATGAAAAGATCCCTTGTAGTTGTCATGCCAAGCATCACGGCCACCTTTGCCATACAAGTGATCATATCGATTAGGACTTGGGCTGAGATGTAATAACATATTTTGAAATATTGGAATTATAGAATAAGTGAAAAATAAATGACTCTCGTGACAGGTGGAGTGCTAGCTAGCTTGTTAATCGAACTTCTGATGTTGCAGCATCCTTTCGGGTTGAATGATAACATAAAGGGATATGGAAACATTACAACTGCAGAAAATCTTCTTAACTACAAGTATAATCATTCTCTCATCTCGTTTGATTTACAAAACTGGAGCTAGTAGAGAAAAAAAGAAGACAGAAAAATAAAGTAAACGTATACGGCATTATTATGGAAGAGATAACAAGTAATAGAGGAACACTCAAACCGACTGTGTAGTATGTAGTGCAGAATGTTTACGCGGACAGGAAATTAACTAGCTCATTAAACCCTCCATGTCAGCAAATTTCCTGCAGACAGTGAATGATATGGCCAGGTATCTAATATTGTTTGCTAGCTCATTTTCGTTCTGACACTGTCCTAAAAAATCTTGACAGTGAAAAATTGAAACAGATACCCAACAATGATTGCATTTGTACTGCGAATACAGCACATATGTATGTGGATGAAAATCATGAGCACATTATTGAAGGAAATGTGAGTCATATAAGAAGACAATTTCAGGAGATTGTGAAAAATGGAACAGAATATAGATTATATACCGGCATAACAAGGCAAGAAGTCGAAACGGTAATTGAAAATACCCCCAACAAGGTCATGAATTATCTCAAGTGTAAATATGAAGCCAGCAATCACAAAATTAATCTCTTACAGAAAAAATTTTAGTTCATGCTAATGTAGCAGAGTGAGATCACTGCTGAGAGGGGCTAATA